GGGCACAATCATAGTGTACTACAGCCCCAAATTCCTGGGCTCCAGCAATCCTCTTGCAGTAGCTGGGACCACAGGTGTATTTCACCATGCCCGGCTTGTAATGCCTTTTATGACCTATTCTCAAAGTCTTCATGACTTTGGGTTCTCTAGTACTAGCACTCTTAGCTCTGGTATGTTTAGCTCCATTCTGTGCCCGTGTCATGTTACATATGCCGGTTACCACATCTTGATCCCTTCAGTTGAGCATACGTCACTATGGTTACCCACACCTTAAATAGAATAAGTCCACTAAGTGCTCAAGAGCTGACTTAGCCCATCAACACAGGTTATGTCTCCCTCTGGAGAGTAGAAACTGGTAGCACCTAGCAATTCTCTGACTCTTCTTGTATGAATCACTGTAGTGAGATTCTCAGCACCAAAGCAGGGGATCTAGTGGCCATTGGTTCAGGCACTCTTTTTTTCTCAGGTCCAATGTTTGTACCCCTGGGGTCAGTTCAGGCCTAGGCTAACCCTTGCCAGCATAAGCCTCCTCTTTTCCCTGACTCTGAGACAAGGAAGTTGCTCAAATTTTTGCAGCCATCACTACACCTGTGAAGGGTACAGGCCTTTCTTCCCAAAGCCTCTATTCCCATGGTTGTCAACCTTGGCTGCATTTTACAGTCATGGAAAATATACCAGTTCCCAGCCCTCACCCCCTGAGATTCTGATTCAATGGTATATGGTAAAGCATCAGTATATTTTGAAATAATATCCAGGCAATTGTAATGTGCAGCCAGGGTTGAGAAGAACCATTGCTCTACTCTCTTTCTGAGTAGAACAGGGATTAGCAAACTTTTTCTGTAAAGGGCCAGGTAGTATTTTAGGCTTTACAGGCCACAACTCTGCCATTGTATCACAAGCAAATGAATGTGATTGTGTTTCAATAAAATTTTATTTACAAAAACAGGTTGCGAACCAGATTTGGCTTGTGGGTTGTAGTTTGCCAATCTGCAAACTAGATCAACACAACATGAATAACATTTTGAAGCTATAACAGAAGGTTAGGGCAGGGCCATCAAGCTGCAGGAGTCTCACTAGTGTGTCCTGAATTCTGGTAGTAGTAAACAGTTTGATTTTCCTAATCTTCACCCATTTGAAACTAGATGCTTGGGAGAGGCTTACGTGTGGTAGCATTTATCTTTAAGAATAGGACTAGACCAATAGAACCCATCCTTCTGCCAGAGTTCCCACTATTATCCTATTGTGGCAGGTTCGTGGAGGGGAAAGTAACCTTTGAGTCTGAAGACCTGGTCTCTCTGGGACTCTTGCCACATGGCTGTGATGAGCATTTTGGCTTCTTCATTTGAGCATATTTATCATTACTTGCACGTCAGCTGCCTAATGCCTTAGAATAGGTCTGTCTGGTGCTATAGGTTAGAAACAAGGGAAAATTCTATAGGTTAGGAACAAAATGATGAGATTCTGGACTTTAAGCTGATGGGATGAGACTTTGAGGGGCCTTGTATGGCCAATAGGATACATCAGAAGTGGTATTCTATTGCTTCTGAGATAGTAATAAAAGGTTGTAGCTTTCACCTTGGTCTCTCTCTCGGATCACTTGCTCTGGTGGAAGCCGTGCTGCGTAGCCTGATGAAGAGGCTCACATGCAAAGGAGCTAAATCTTCCTGCCAACAGTCTTGTGAGTGAGCCTGGACACAGATCATTAATCTTCGTTTGAGTCTTGAGATGAGTGTAGCCTGCCTTAGCCAACAGCTTTATTGCAACCTCAGAAACCCTGAGCCAGAACCATCCAGCTAAATGCTCCCAGATTTGTGACCCTCAGAAATAAGTGTTTGTTGCTTTATGCTGCTAATTTTTGGAGTAATTTGTTATTCAGGAATAGATAACTCTAATGAAAACACAGACATGGCGTAGTCACCAATTATTTCAAAAAAAAACACAAAAAAACATTAACATGTTGGAAGACTCAAACCCCATGTGTGCCCCTCTCTAATTCAATCTGCATCTCTTTGATTCCAGTTGGAATAAGTTTTCTGCTTTTAAGTGCTCATGAATTAGATTGGGCCCACCCAGATAATCTAGAATAATCTTCCTATTTTAAGTTCCATGACCTTAATTACATCTGTAAAGTCTCCTTTGCCATGTAACAACATATTCACAGGTTCCAGAGATTAGGGCATGGGCATTTTTGGAGGAGAGGAGGGTCATTCTGTCTACCATATGGGTGTATATATCACTATATATCAATGAATTTTGTACTATTAAAAATATTTTTATAAATGTTCCAACTTGAGTTTTCTGTTTAATATCTTTGTGCAACCTGTCCATGTTGATGAATAATTTACTAATTTTCACTGATATATTTCACTATTAAATTATTCATGTTTTGGTTAATGAATTTCAGGTTGCTTGCAGTTTTCTCTATTATGAACAATGTTGCTGTAAACATTTCTGTACATGTCTTTTGGTGCTCTAGTATCAGTATCTGGAAGTGGAATTTCTAGATCATAGAGAATAATCTTTCACTTTACTATCAAGTGCCTGATTGTTTTACAGTAGGGTTCCAGCTTACACACCTGCCAGCAGTGTGAGTTCCTATTGCTCCATGAAGATATTTTCACCAATATTTGGGATTGTCAGCCTTCTTAGTTTTTGACAATTTAGTGGTTCTAAAATAATATTGATTTGCATTTTCCTTATGAATAATACAGTTGAATTCATCATATATTAAACATTTAGATATTTTTTTCTCCTTTCATTTCAGGATTTTTATATTGGATTTCTATTATTTATTGTTTTACATGTTGATTTGGAAGAATTATTTATATAATATATTCTGGCTATTTGTCTCTATACATATTGCAAACATTTTCTGCTCTATCAGTTCTCTGAATTTTCTTTACAGTGTCTTTTGACTTTTGATGTAGCTGGATTTATCAATCTTTTAGAGATTATGCTTTTTTGTTATAGAAATACTTTTCTGTCCTATTGTCATAAAGACACTGATATTTTTTTCCAAATTTAAAATTCAGCCTGTTTTACTTACTCCTTAATCCATTTTAGTGGACTTTTGTATATGGTGTGAAGTAGGAATCCAATTTCATTTTTTCCCTTTATGTATAATCACTTGTACTAGTACTAGTTATAGAATGTTCCATTTAATCTGTAGTGCCATTTCCATTATATATAAATTTCTATGTATATGAGTCATTTATGGGGTTTATTCTATTTCTATTTGTCTATCTTCAGGTCAAGACAAAACTGTCAATTACTGTTGCTGAATAATAAAAATTTGGCATCTGGGTAGTTCGAGCTGCTCCATGCTCCTTTTATGATCTTGGAGTGTCTTGGCTGCTCTTGACCATTTGTTCAGGTTTTATTAAAAACCCTTTTGGGATTTGGACTGGAATTGTACTGTAAATATAGGGAGAATTGAATCTTTATGACAGCAAGTCTTCCTATTCATGATCATGGAGTGACTCTCCATGTATTTAGGTCTTTAAGATGTCTTTTAATCACATTTTAAAGACATATGCAGGTTATTCTTGTGCACAGGTTAGATTTCTTCCCCAATGCCTTATTGTTTGCTTTAATCATTGTAAGTGGTTTTATGAAAACACATATTTCTTCTTTTTGGGGACCAGTACATAAATATACAAGTGATTTCTGAATACTGGTCTTACAGACAGCCACTTTCCTAAGCTCTCTTATTATGGCTAATATTTTGTCTATAGACTTTTTTAGGTTTGCTTAGTAAATAATCATATCATCTGTTAAAGCTGTCAGGTTTGTCCTACCCTTTTCCCTTTCATTTCTTTTTCTTTTCTTATTTTGCTGGCTAGACTCCCAGTGGAAATGTTCAATAGGAGTGATAGGTGGCATCTTTCTTTCTTTTCTGATTTTTAAAGAGAATGCTTCCAGTGTTCCTACTTCAATAATATTTGCCATAGTTTGTTGTGTATAGACCCTACTGGGTTAAGAAAGTTCTCTCTATTCCTAGTTTGCTAACTATACTGAATTTTAACAAATGTTTGTCCACATCTGTTGAGTTGATAAGGTGTTATTTTTCTTTCCTTTAATCTATTAGAATGATAAATGGAATTTATAGATTTTTCTATTAAACCATGGTTACATTCCTAGGAAAAACTTAACTTGGTTAGGATGTATCATCTGTTTTATATATACTGTAGTTTGTAGACATTTATTATTTTTTCCTCTATGTGGATGTAAATTGCCTGTAACTTAACTTTCTTATATAACCCTTATCTGGTTTTATTATTAAGGTTATATTTGCCTAATACAATTATCTGGGGAAAGAATTATAAGAATTACTTCTTCTTGGGCATACAGTTCAACTGTATTGGCATCATCTGACTGAGTTCCAGCCACTGGAATGTGAAGTGACTTAAGCTACATCCAGGACTGGCTCATAAAAACCTCCCATGCATGATCTTCCTCTTTTTTCCCTCTTTGTGCTGACATAGAGGTTGCAGGCTGAATGTGATGGTGGCACAAAATAGAAGGATCCTGAGAATCTGAATGGCTGAATGGAATAGAACACTCTCCATTTCCTGGACAAATCACATTAGACTACAAAATGAGGAAGCAGTAAACTTTTTTGGTCTCTAATAAAGAACTGGGTACATTGAAGTGTAATGCTGTTGTGATAAAACCTTAAAATATTTGGTATCGATTTTGTCATTTAGGAGGGTGGGGAAAGGTGAGGAAACTGATATCAGAAGCTGGAAAGATGGTGACCGCCTAAGTTATACATTGACAAAACAGTTGGTAAAATTGTGACCTGCAATATTTAAGTACCAGCTGAACTTTAGGGACAGGAGTTAGAGAACAGTGTTTGTAGCGTATACTGATTGTTATTGACTGTATTTGACAAGGTGTTATAGGAAAACACTGACCAATTTATAAGATGTAATGAAAAGTCATAGTCTACAAATGTGGGATATTGAATGATTGAGAAATCTGACAGCTTCTAGATCCCATACAGTAAGGATAACATAATTTTATTAGGATCTAATTAAGAGTGCTATCATCCCATCTGAACCCACCATTTCTACAAAAGAAAAGGCATTGGTCGGAGGAAGCATATATATAAAGCAGGTCTGCGAACTATGTCTAGAACAAAATAAATACAGTGACCAGCATTTAGGACTGACTGCTAGAAAATGTATTAGAAGCCTACTAAGGTTTTGAGGAAATCTTATGTCAAAACAAAACAAAACACTCAAAAAAATCTATGGCTCTCGAACATACCTCAAAACAACCTTTGGGTAGGAAGACAACTACAAAAATGTCTCAATTCCCAAGAAGGTCTAGCCATTGAAATGTGCACAGAAGTGATGTATGGTACTTCCAGGTTTGGCTATAAAAATTTCCCATGCACTGTCTTCCATTGTTTTTTCCCTCTCCATGGTAACTTTGAGGTTAGAGGCTGGATGTGATGGTGACACCAGATAACATCCATCTCAAATTTGCAAGGGAAAAAAAGAATAAGGCAGAACAAAACTAGCAGCTTTTGAGTCATTCGATGAATGGACTAGAGCAACACACCCAAATAGGAATATGTTGCCTCCAAAACCTAAAGAGGCCCACTAGGTGTTGTCCCGTTCTTGGTTGTAGGAGCAGCCAGATGCAGCAACTTATCCTTTGCCTTAAAAGGAATGCCTCAACATGCCCTATACTACTAGATCCCTACAAATTTTACTGAGGTAGGAGGCCCCTAAATTTTACATTACTTACCCTCTGATATTCAAATGTCTTACCACTAAGTCTAGAATAGTTGCTTCTTCAACCTCATTAATTCCAATCAGCAAATGTCATCAATATAATAAATCAATGTGATATCATGAAGGAAAAGGTAATCAAAATTCCTGTAAACAAAATAGAGCTGGAGAATTGATATACCCCTGAGGTAGGGCAGTGAAGGTGTATTGCTGGCCTTACCATCTAAAAACAAACTGCTTCTGGTGGGCTTTTATGGACAGGTATGGAGAAAAAGATACTTGCTAAATGAACAGCTATAAAACAGGGAGCAGGGGATATGTTAATTTGCTCAAGCAATGAAACCACATCTGGTACAAAAGTTGCAACTGGAGTCCACTTGGTTAAGAATATGATAATCTACAGGTCTTCTCCAACATTATCACTGTGTAAAAGCAAAGGCCACCACAAAGGAGTAAAAGTCCTCCATTCCCACCTGTTATTTACCTTCTAAGACTCTGTTATATACACAAATATATCCTCTTGTTGGGTTTTTAAAAAATATACATACAGTAAAATACTGTTCTGTAACTTGATCATTTCACTCAATAACCCTTCTGGTGTAGTGTAAACAGACCTGACTCATGTTTAATGGCTGCAAGTTCAGTGAAATGGGTATACTGTAAATTATGAATATGAAACCAATCTCCTTACTGATGGATATTTAGGTCAATTCCATTGTTTTGCTATTACAAATAAGGCTGAAATAAACATCCTTTCATATATAACTTTTATATATAAAATATAAATTATAAATATAATATACATATTTACTTGCATTTGTAGGCTTGATTCCCATGTGAAAGGAAATGCCCTACGTTTCCACCTCCTTCTTTAGGACAAATTTCTAAAAAATTCCTTGTTAATCAAGAAATGACTTCAGTTTCAAAACATGCTGAACGCACTCAGTTTCCAGTAGCTCTCAGCATACACTGTACATTAGGACTTGGTAAACTTGAGGACTGAAAGGACTTCTTGGCCTGCTTGCCTGGAAAGTGCAGTGGTCCCTTGTAGACCCTTTGTCTTCATCGTTTTTAAAATTTCTTCTAAAATGAAATTCAAAATAAAAGATAAAATCCATTAAATCATTTGATGATGTGTATGATCGCACAGTTTAATAAGATGATAAACACAGACTATTCACAAATTATATTCATCTGACAAAACAATGTATACCAAGCAAATGTCTATTGAAATGAACCTGAACTTCAGACAGATGGATACACTTTGTATTTTGAAGGTGGTGTCGAGGATTCTAGTCAGATTGAATGTCTTGCTTTGCAGTGGCAGCCTACTGTGAACTCAATAGAAACATTAATTATACTTGTTATTATGGCAAGTGATCAGTTTTTTACTTATTGGCTCCAATCTCTGCCCTATATTCTTCCCTTTGGATGAAAAAGGTCAAGGAAGGTATGGACAAACTGAATAGTGATATTGCACAGTGAGGGTAAATGAAGTAGCTTATTTCTTTCAGGCATATTGAGAAAAGCAAAACCTTCCTTTTATAAATAAAACTAAAAACACAGAACTAAAAAATGGAGTTTCAAAAAAAAAGAAGAAAAAGAAAAAAGAAGAAAAACTAGTAATCATATTGTGATTTAAAGGGGTTGAGAATATAAGATATAAGATAAAAATCAAACTTGAGGTGTACAGAAAAAGAAAATAAAGATTATGGTCAATTTAGCTATAATCTGAAAACCAAGATATAAAAATCCATACTATTTTATTAATAGCCTTCATGATAAAACTTCAGATGAACTAAAGAGTATATAGGAGAACTGTCAAGAGCATGAAGACTAGAGGGTAGAAAGAAAATTCATAAGACTGAGAGTGTGTTGTTAGAAGAAATTAGAGATTTTGTATTTGAATATTAGTTTATGAATGGGGAAAAACTGCCAACTAAAAGAGAAGATAATACTTTTTAAAATGAAAAAGCATTTATCTCTTAAAATCTCTTTCCTCTTTCAACATGAATTTATGCCTATACATGTCGTCAGTGATTAAATTTTTAACATGCCAGATTACCTTATAAATTACAGTCTTTTACATTATTAACTTGATTTCACAGTAAAGTAAATGGGTAAATGATAAACTGGTCTGTATTACCTGGATTGTTTTCTTTAATGGTAACTAAATAGAATAATCCTCTTGGTGAAAGGAGATCTGAAGCCAGTGGAAAGAATCTGTCCATGACTTCTCGACCATTTCTGCCACCAGCCCATGCTGCCGCTATTCCATGACTTCCTACCTACGACCGATTGGAAAGACTGTTTTTTCTTTTAACTCATGTCAAGTTCCATTTAGACCATAACTGAATCTTTTTGACAAGTAATATCACCAAAAAAGTATATATTTTCCATTTCACTGCTGACAAATAGGCAATAAAGTCGAATCTAAATTCTATCGTTTCCTAGTTTGTGTGACCTTGAGTAAATTAATAATCTTTGTGAATTAGTTTCCTCACTTATCTGTAAAATTAGAAAAATAATAGTTCCATCTATACAATCAGAAAACTGATAAAATGTTTTTTATCCACTATTAGGAATAAATGAGGAAATATATTTAAATTTTTGAGAACACTGTCCGGCACATATTAAGGGCTTACTAATAGTTGTTACTATTAATACAATGCTTAAATTGAGAGACATGGTTAGCTTTTATACTTAATAGAGAAGAATTAGAAGGAAGCTAGAAGGGGGGGGGTTGTATTATAAGAGATCTACTGTACAGAAAGTACAGTTCTAAAATGTCTAAAGTTCTAAAGTTCTAAAATGTCCCCAATGCACCTGGCTCTCTTCTAGATTAAAGTATGAAACACAGACCTTTTTAAAGAAACAATTTATTATATAAAGGTACACTGATGCATTTCTTCTCTAACAAACTGTATTCTTAAAATCCATGACTTTACGTAGTATGTAAATCCTTACCATTATGCATTTTGTTCTCAAAATTAAGGAATATTTTGAAGAAATCACTCAAGAATTACTTTAACCCCAACACAACAGTTTTCTTCCTATTTCCTTCTATGGCTTTTGTCCATCTTTTAGTTATTTATATACAATCAAAGTCTATTTATTCATTTAATATGGCACATATTTCCCCATTAAAAAATCATTCCTTTATAGCTACAACCATATGCATATATAATCTTACAAAGAAGAGAAATATGCTAATTATATCTGCTTTAAAAAAGTCACACTTTTTCCTTTTACTGTTTTGCTTGTGTGCCCTTCCACTATCTTCTGCGCACGCAGGTTTTTCTTTTTTGTCCGTGTTTTACAAAGACAAGATTATATCCTATATATTTACATGCATCTTGTTTTTTCTCACTCAACAATACCTATAGAAATCTTTTCTAGTATAGTTCTAGTTCATTCTTTTAATGGTTGTATAATATTTCATGGTGGGAAAGTATATCTTATTTAGCTATTGATGGCATTCCCTACGTCCATTTTCTTAATTTTCTCTGAATCTAATTATTCCCATGCCTATCATAAGTCTCTCTATACATTTATCCACAAAGTTAATCATGTTAAAATATTTATCAGTTCCTGTTTTTTGTCAAGACTTTCCTTCTAGAGACTTCTCTTTTCTGGGAGTCCCTTTGCTTTTTCTTCTCGGTTGAACTCCCTCTTTTTCTGGTACTTATGGGTTCCACTTCCTTCATTTATGCCTTATTTTGGTGAAGCCCATTCTCTGGATGTTTCATGAAGTAAGATAGTCTGTGGCCAGTGTGCACAACAATGACAGCCTCTGCCAGCCCTGTTGTCACTCTGCTCCAATATGGATCAGGGTCCTGCTGTGGTATGACTCTCCAGGGATGCTCAGCCATGTTTATCTGCTCATATTAGAGATGAACCTCCAGGAAGATCACCTGGTACAAACCACGTTCTTACAGGCCACAGAAGGGAGGTTTCTGTCTTCACGAGGCAGCAGTCAAGTTTCATGGCCTTCTGTTTGTCTGCCTGCTACCCGGGCCAACTGCTGTGTCTACTTCTGATTCTTCAGAGACCACATGCACAAACCAACAGCACCTTATTTCACGTTCTTGGAGATACCAGTGAGTATGGTCACAGCTTTTTATGAGTACAAACTCCTACTGTTTGTATATTGTGTTTCCTGGATCTCTAAGTCTCTTATCTTTTACCTTTGTGATTTTCTTCTCTTTATCTCCATACTTTGTGCACTGAAATGTTTCTTTGATTGGGTTTCCAGATCACTGATTAAGGTCCTGACAGTGACCATATTCTCTTTTAACTCACTTCTTAATGCTTTATTGTTTAAAACATATTTTTAAGCTCCAAGACATCTTTGTTGTGTTGTAGTTTGATCCTGCTTTCTAGCTAATTGCTCAGCTAAATGGGAATTATGACACTAGTTCTCTCTGTTGGGACTTCAAAAAAAGGCCCAAGGCATTGCCTACCTCAATCATCTTATGTCCCAGCAGCCCTAAGGCTCAGGAGAAGCACATATTTTAGTCTAAGGAACAGGGGAGAAAGGAAGTCCACTGGAGTCACTGTGTTCTCAGAATCACCTTTCCATTCACTAGTTGTCCTAGTAGTTTGCAGACCGGACAGACTGTGATTTACTTAACTGTTTCTCTACTATTACGTATACAGGTTCATATTTGCCATCATAAATAAAGGTACAATAAGCATATTTTTGTGAATTTCAACTTTTAGTCTATTGTTGAATGATTTTTTTAAGTTAAATTTCAAGAACAGATTATTGGACTGAAATATTTCTATCACATGATATTTATTTCTAGAGTGCTTTCCAAAGGAGTTGTATTAAGTTGCATTTTTCTCAACTGCTGTTCACCTTACAACAATGATTTCCTTCCTTCTTTTATGAGTTTGTATGTCAGTAAAGTAACAGCTTTTTCATCATTTAACTGCCATAAGTAGTAATAGCAGCTAAATGGAGCCTTCCCATTTTGGTGGGGGGGTGAATGTAACATTCATCAGCCTTCCCAGAGAATAATCATGAAAGAATGAAATAGGGAGAATAATTAAAGAAAAGCTACCATAGTCCACAATGAAACTCTGTCTGCCTTGACCATTCCTGGGAAAAGGTTAATATGTTTTACCTTTTCATTATTGGGATTTAAAAAAATCACGTATTTCAAGATTATTTCTTTTCCCTACCTGAAATAAGAATTGGCCTCACTTTTCCCATTTTCTGGTAGGTAATACCTGTGAAAGGAGGAAACCTGAGACTTTCAGAAGGAATTCCTATGTGAATTTTAGGTTCATTAAAAAGATTTTGTTTTACAAATTTTTTATTCATAAGAGAGAATATATATAATATATAATCATATATGTATATCATATATTCTTTTATATATATATGAATATATGAATTTAAATACCAATGGCCTGATTTGGATAGGATTTTTAAGGACAGATAAGGGAACAGTTTATATTTCCAGTACTTTTAGGTTCCTTTCCTATGTCTACCAGTAGTACTCAATTACTGACAATTAGGAATAAAATCAATATAGTTTGTGTTAACGGCAGCTAACTGATGTCACATGATGTTCCCTTGATTTTAGAAACAAAATAGCCAAAAACATTTAATAACTGAATTTTGTTGTATGTCTTACCTCTTCAGGTGGAGTCACTACATAAGGGGGATTAAATACCAGAAGATCAACTTTTCCCTTCAATCTTGGTAGCAAGCCTTTGACCTAAATGGATCCAACAAGTCAGAGTTTTAAGCTGTACTCTGATTTAAATAATTAACAAATCAATCTTAAAATATTGTCCCATGCTTTTAGGAAAAAAATGTGTTAGACAGAAGTGGAGATCAATATTTTTACATTTTGATTCAGATAAAGATTATATGCACTTCACACATTTTTAGAATAACATGGCAAATCCACACTAAATAACTCATGGTTCAACTTTAACATGTTACAAAACTGATAATGATGTATTGCATTTGCATGAATACAGTTAGCAATACTTACAACTTGCTGTGAAGTGTCACTTAAAATAGTAACTTTAGGCCGGGCGCTGTGGCTCACGCCTGTAATCCTAGCTCTTGGGAGGCCGAGGCGGGCGGATTGCTCAAGGTCAGGAGTTCAAAACCAGCCTGAGCAAGAGCGAGACCCCGTCTCTACTATAAACAGAAAGAAATTAATTGGCCAACTGATATATATATATAAAAAAAAAAAATTAGCCGGGCATAGTGGCACATGCCTGTAGTCCCAGCTACTCGGGAGGCTGAGGCAGGAGGATCACTCGAGCCCAGGAGTTTGAGGTTGCTGTGAGCTAGGCTGACGCCACGGCACTCACTCTAGCCTGGACAACAAAGTGAGACTCTGTCTCAAAAAAAAAAAAAATAGTAACTTTAGCACAGAGATTTTGCTGATGCAAGATTAAATGAAAAGAAATGAGAGTGTCTGGATCTGTTAATATTTTTTTATCTGCGCAATAAACCCTTCATGTTTTCCTGTCATGGAAGGTGCACTGTCTGTACATATACTCACTGAATTTACCAAATTCAGTCCAACTTCAAAACATTTATCTTGAAAGTTGTTGAAAAATCTATTCCTCCTGTTCTGTTCTCAAAATTGCCCAAAGCAAGTAACTCTTCATAACAAAGGAAATCTTCTGCTATGATTCAAATGAAGTATAAAACCTGCAGTGAGTCAGTACTATCAGTTGATTCATCTAAAGTGATTAAATAATATATATTTTTCTTTTTAAGTATTACATGAAGTTGTTCTGTTAAGCTGAAGGCTAATTCACAATGGTGATCAATCATGGTTTTCCTTGAAAGAGGCAGTTGTTTGTACTTTGGAACGTTACTGGGGTCTAAGCATCCTACAACTTCAACAATGCATTCTTTCATAAATTCTGCATCACTGAATGGCTTCCTTTCTTCCCCCGAGTAAACAAGCTACTTTATAAGTTGTTTCAGTGGCATTATTTCCAGGTTTTATTGCTGCTTGAAAGAATTTTTTTGCATTTACTTTTCATCTATTAATTTCTGCAATATAATCTTTTGCATCTCTCCCTCTAATTCAAAATATGTGTGGTCCTTATGAATGTCATAAAGCCGATGATCATTGAGTTTCTTTAACGTTGATAGTACAGTAACAAAAATCAAGCAAATCATCTTATCTTTGGCAGAAACGAGATAATATTGCAATTCCCAATCCTCATTAAAAAAAATGTTTTCTTCCTTCAGCGTTCTCTTGGTCTTCTTTGACATGATGGGCTGTTAAGCAGATAGAATTAAAACATACCATCTAGCTGTGCAACTATTTACAAAATCCGTGTCAAAAAGAAACACAGTGCACTGCTGTCAAAAGCTGGTAACAGACTGGCATACTCTACTGCCATAAACTCTTGCTAACCTGCCTTATGTGGTAGTGGCACCCCTCAGGCAGGGGAAGTTAGAATTAAATCATAAGTGTAGAGGCTGTCGATTTAGCCCTAATGGCTTACTAATGCTCAAATTGTGCTGGTTAATCTGGGAGGATCCTTTTGTTGAAGTTTATTTTATTGTTTGGAATTTTAAATATGTTCATTTTAAAAATAAAAAGACGAACAAAAATGTATTAATAAAAATAAAAGGATTTGTTCTGTAAAATTTGGATTCAGTCAAAAGGCCACAAGTCTTAAAGGCCACATGTGGCATTAAGGCCACAGGTTCCCCATTCTTGGGGTATACTGTTTAGTGGGTCAAAAGTTAATTACTTAAGTTTCTCTGACCTAAAAGATCTTGACCTTAACTTATTTGAAAAGAGAGTGGATTATTATTGCATGAAAATTAACAGCTCACCAAATCTGTAATTACTGGCTGAATGTGGACTTTGTTACAATGTGCTGTCTCCAGGGTACAAGCTGCTGCCTCAGGGTTGATATCAGTGCACCTATAAACAGAAATGGAAGAAAACTGTATCTTATGTCCATGAGGCAAATATGTTACTGAGTATTTCAAGGAATTTTAAATTAATCCTATATAAAGCAGATTTAGAAAACAAAATTAGGATGCTTTAATAATGGCAAAGAAAAAGAGAACAAAGATTTGTTATTATTGATGAGAAAGACTATCATATTACCATAATGTCCAAGAGTAGAAGAATATACATATATCACACATATCTGAAGGAATTTATTAAATTATGATCTATCCAATGAAGGAGTACTATGCGGCCACCAAAACTGAAATTTAAAAGGAATTTTTGGTAGGAAAATGTTCATGAGACAATATTAAATTAAAAACAAAGGAAATGAAAAAAAATGAAGGAAATACACTTGGATCACCTGTGATAAAATTTACTGGTGATTTTTATTTTCTTCTTCATATTTTTCTATATTCTCTAATTTTTTATAAAGACATTTAAGTAACTTTTATGCTCTCTGATAATCAAATAATTGACCTAAAAAAGAATCAAACTTAGAGACGATCTAAAATTATGCTACTTCTATAATCATGTAATACGATAGAGCAGTTTTGAACATGAAGTCATTTTTAGGGAAGCATAATTTGCAATCTTGGTTTTTATAATACTTAAGTAAACATTATCAGATATATATTGTCTCCTTACAAAAATTGTTTCATTCAAGCACTCATAGTGCATCTCTCAGTGGAAGATGGGGATGAAGATGATATACTTACATGTACAAAGCCTGAGGACCTATCATAGAGGCTAGGAATGCAGATACTACTCCAGACCCTGACCCTACTTCAAGGCATATTTCTACTCTAAAAAAAACACAACAAAATAAAGATTAGTATAGAATTAAAATATCTTCACAAAAAGCAACTCTCATGCTAGTTATAATATATATTTCTCCAGCATCATCACTCACCTACAAATATATGGAAATATAAAAGAAATTTATAAATAATTTCTGACATCCACTATATAACTCAAAATTGCTAATATTTTGGGTATATATTTTAAGTCCATAATGTAGTTATGTATTACCATTTTATATATAACATTTTCAACTGATTTCAACAAAACATTATATAAAAAGTAAGGAATAATGTTAATATAGGGTTAGACACACTAATATTAAAGATATCTCCCCTTCCCAGGAGCTCCTAGTTAATATTTCCTAAAATGATAGGGTTTGTATTATTACAAAATTTATTGAAGAAGTTTGTCTGTCATTTTTAAAGTACCTAACATTCATAAGTCCATCATCATATCCTAGGTAAAAGGGGTACCCCATTGTACTGATAATAGATTTAGAGCAGCAAAGAAATTCTGTATTTGTATACCCATATGCTAATCAGGAAGTATCTGAGTATCTGATCTTAAAATGTTAATGATACTCTTAAAGTGCTGTTAAATATAATAAAATCTTTACTATATTTTATCTTTCAATTATTTCTTTGCCTCTCTGATGATCTTATACATGCATCAAAAGCATCAATTATCTTACAAAGATCAGTTTGATGGCGTTTAGGGAAGTGTCTAGCACTTCTCAAACAACTATCCAGCAACAAGCTCCAGGGGTTTTTAACTATTGGGACCAGTCCACACATTTGACAAGCCTTTATGAGACGGTTATGAGGTCTGTGAATATTACCAGGTGGCTTCTCTTTGAAAGTAACTATCATGGCCTCATAAATAATTAGAATTCCAAGACTAGAAATATCCAAGACTTTGTAACAAAATCAGCTCCTTTTACAGCATACTTTGCAATGCAATTTGTGCTTGTAAATCTTTCTGGGATATCTTGAGAATAAAAGACAAATTATAAAACAGTACTGTTCCACTCTATATTCCAGTAAATCCCAGAGTTCCATCGTCTACAACAAAAAACTAGTTTAATAAGGGTTGTGGAATTTTATTCGTGGAAAAATGTGACCTATTTTATATAAAAAAAAAAATTATAATTCTCATACAAAATTAAATGTATTTTTTAAATTGCTAATTTTCCTTCAATTTCTAAATCTTGGTGTGTTTGGGTATGGTAACTTGATGAAATACTATATAGCTTTGGTTGCTCAAATAAAAGAATAAAAATAAGATTAAATAACTCAAAAAAAAATGTGACCTATTTTAAGAGGGAATAAACATAATATAGACCTTTGAAACCTGACAGCTGTTTGTTTCATCCTGAGAAAACCCAGTTCAAGTCTTCTTTAAATAAACCTAACGACCCAAATTTCTTAATATATGTATTCATTCTTCTTATATTAATTTAAAATTTATGGCAAGCACTACAACAAATCAATTTTAATATTTGTAAGCTCCTAGGTAGATTCTATAGGCCGCTAGCTGCATGTAACTTATTTACATTTCTTACAATTCAATGAAAAATTCAGTTCTTCAGTTGCTCTAGCCACTTTCAAGTGCTCAGTAGCCACATGTAGCTAATAATGGCTGTTGCTAAAGTATGTTATTGAGTGGATTTCAAAATACTTCCCTATTACACCATCAAACAATCTTCTTTCATTTTTGTGACCTTCCGTTGCTAAAGGGTGCTTTTTATGTGCTGGGTAAATCAAATAACGCCACGCGACTTTTATTACTTACTAAAACACTTACTATCACTAAGAAGCAATGTTCCCGGAATATTTGGCTTCCGAACCTATTTTAATATCGCCGCTTTTAGGGGCATGTGTTCTTCAGATCAACAGCTGAGAGGGAATGACACGTCTGGCAAGGCAAGTAGGCAGGAAGCTCACGAGACGAGAGCAACACCTTGGCAAAAGGGGATAGACTCCTGCCACGGTCATTACTTGTGCCTACTTGTGCCTACAGGAGGCACAAGTTCTGCTGTCAATCATCGGGAAGACGGCCGATACCGCCTCCTCGGGCTAAGAGCGGCGAACGTCATGTATCCCCCCTGGCACCCTGCCGCCGCTTCTCCAGAACGACCAAGCCCTCTCCCACCGGTGCCCTTGCCCTCCTCGCACCCGGCCAGCTGGGCCGCCGCTGCCTCGAGCGCGTCCAGCAGCAGGAACGTGTCCTCCGCGGGCTCGTACACGTCGCTAAAGCGGCCGCGGCCCACGTGCCCGTGCATCGGCGTGGGTAAACTGGGCGCCGCCATCTTCTCCGCTCCACCCCACGCGCATGCGCCGGGATGCGTACGCGTCCACACTGGTGCGCAGGCTCGGGCGTCGGGGGCGGAGCGTCAACCACGGGTTCTTAATTCAGAATATGGGCGTGGACGCTCTTGGAATTTCTTGGTAGTCAGTTACATAACCTGCGACTGTTGACACTCGCTTTCTTCTTTTGGACATTTAAGTTTATTTCATTTTATAGAGTAGCACCTGACAGTGGGCATCATGAATTGTTTTTGAGTATGGTGAATGTTTCTACGTTCTAATATATTTGTGGAAATTTTCTTCTATTCCTAGTTTGCAAAGACTTGAAAAAAATACATAATAATAAATTTTACTATGTTCTTCTTTTTACATCAGCTGAACTTTAAACTTTGAGATTAAGATTTTTTTCTCATTTATTTTTTTTACTATAGTTTATTACAAAAATTGCCTTCCTGATGTTGAGTCATAAATGCACTCTTTATAAACCTTACTCAAGAAGGATGCAGTTTTATTACACTGCTGAATTTGGTATGCTAATAATCTGGCTCTATTTTATATTGAGATTATGCTGTCCTCATTGGATGAGGTAGGACACTGTTTCTGGAACATTTGGTTATTATAGAACCTACCCATAAAACTGGCTCAGCTTGGTGCATTTTTTAATGGATGAATTTCTGACGTTTGGGGGCATCTTCTATAGGTTATTAGACTATTCAATAATTTGCATTCTTTTTGAGTCAATATCTGAAATTTATTTCCCCATAAAACATTTTTACATCTAGTTTTGTAAATTTGAGAAATAAAAATACAGAAAAGTACTGAGATTACATTTTTTAAAACCCTGAGTACCCCACCCAGAATTTACAATTATTAGCATTTTCTCATGTTTCCTTAAAGCATTTTTTAAATAACTGAAATATTACAAATGAAGTGGATGTTCTTCCTGTCCTTGTTCGCAATTTCATGTTGTAACCCTCACTCTAAGGTAACGTTTCTTATGGGTTTACTGTGTATCCATCTAACCCATGTTTTTCTGCTTTTCCATTGATATATACATAAACAACATATACTTTAAGTGTTTTAAATTTATATAACTGGGAATAGGTTGAACATATTGTTTTTCAATATGTTGAAAAACATTTTTTTCACTCAATATTATATGAGATTTATGTTTTGATATATATGAAATTAATTTACTCCTTTTAACTGCCATGCAGCATATGAAATATTTTCTATCTAGGTTAGACAAATGTCTGTTGGTAAGCATTTAGTTATTTGGAGGTTTGCACTATTATGAACAACATGGTAATTAACTTTCTTAAACATGGTTTCTTCTGATATTGTACAAAAGTTTCTTAAAAAAAATTTTTTTTATTGTAACGTATTATAGGGGTACAAGTGTTATGGTTACATATATTGCCCATGGCCCCCCCTTCCCCCTTGCGTCAGAGCCTCAAGCATGACCATCCCCCAAATGCTGCATATCTCACTCTTTGTGTTTGTATATACCCATCCCTTCCTCCCCTTCTCACTCGCCTGACACCCGATAAATATTATTCTTATATGTCCGTTGAGGTGTTGATCTGTTAATACCAATTTGCTGGTGAGTACATGTGGTGCTGGTTTTTCCATTCTTGAGATACTTCACTTAGTAGAATGGGTTCCACCTCTATCCAGGAAAATACAAGAGGTGCTATATCACCATTGTTTCTTAACCTGAATAGTACTCCATGGTATGCATATACCACATTTTATTAAGCCACTCATGAATTGATAGGATTCAACCTAGAGTGGATCAGTTGGATTTTCATATTAATATATGCACATTTTCAATTTTACTAGGCATTGCCAAATTTCTCTTTAAAATAATTGTATTTATTTAAACTCCTACCACCCCTTGGTGGCAGATTTAATATTTAATTTAATATTGCTAGACTTATTTTTTTTGTTTATTTTATTTTTTATTTAATTATTTTTCAGAGACAGAGTCTTGCTCTGTTGCCCAGGCTGGAGTGCAGTGGCACGATCATAGGTCACTGTAATCTCGAACTCCCTGGCTCAAGTGATCCTCCCACCCCAGCCTACCAAGTAGCTGGGACTACAGGCATGCAACACCATTCCCAGCTAATTAAAAAAAATTTATTTTGTAGAGACAGGATCTCCCTATGTTGCCCAGGCTGGTCTTGAACTCCTGGTCTCAAGAAATCCTCCCTCCTCAAACTACTGAAGTGCTAGGATTATAGGCATGAGTGACAGCACCCAGCCTGTTTATTTTAAATTGAATTTAAATATTAAGTCGGATTGCTAATTGAGGTTAAGCATGTGTTTATATGTTCATTACTTGAGGGTATTTTTTTGTAAATTGTTCATTTTTCCTTGTTAGATTTCATCGAAGTTGATACATGCTTAGTTTAATAGGCCAAATAATTCTACATGACTTATTATGAAAAAGCAGTCCATTCTAGCACCTCAACACCCAATTTCTCTCGTCACATTCTCCAGAGGTGACCACTTCCAACTTTTAGCTGTTTCTTTTGGCATTTATTTCCATATTTTTGTATAACAAGCTTATAATAGATTTTTCAACTTTAACATTACCTGTGGAGTTCCCATAATAGAAAGTAAGAATTTGATTCTACCTCCAATAAACAAATGTAATTGCCAGTCCCTTTCTTCACAATATGATTATATCATGATTTTTTATATAATTTTGTCTGTATAAATGCTACTCAAAAGTGACCCTTGTATTATACCAGTTACATTTGCTTTCTTGCACTTTTTCCTTTTTCTTGAAGTTAATAATGACCTAGTGTATTAGTTGCCTAGGGCTGCCATAACAATTACCACAAACTGGGTGGCTTTAAACAATAAAAATTTATTCTCTTCTGGTCCTGGAAATTAGAAGTCTGAAATTGAGGGGTTGGCAGGACCATGCTCCTTTATGAAGGCTCTAGGGGAGAAGCCTTCCTTGCCTCTTCTACCTTCTGGTGGTTGCCAGCACTCCTTGGCCATCTTCGGCGTATGGTAGCACAGCTCCCATCTCTGTCTTCATCTTCACATGGCCATCTTTCCTGTGTCTTTGTGTCTTCAAATCTCTCTCTCTTTATAAGGACACTAGTCATTGCATTTAGGGACCACCCCCATCCAGTAGGATCTCAACTTGGTTACATCTGCAAAGACTCTATTTGCAAATAAGGTCACATGCACAGGTTTAGGGGTGATGGTGGCAGCAGGGTAGTTAGGACTTGAGAATATCTCTTTGAGAAATACAGTTCAACCCACAACATCTAGTAATAGCCACTTTTTCATTTGCTTAGTTTTCTATATATCACAATTCAGCCTCAAAGTCTCTTTGAAATTTTACCACCCCCTCTCCCCTAGTATGTTTGAAGACATTGAACATTGTGATTATTTCTGTCTCATCTACTTAGACACCAAAACATGTCTCTGGTCTTCACGGCCTGGTTTTGCCTATTATTTTCACCTTCATTCTCAGGCTGGCCCTCCTTTGGTATCCTGATAGCTGTATTTTCACATTCTCAAAGCACCAAATTCAGTGGAAGCATCTCTTTTAATTGTTTGCAACAACTCCTGTCGTTCACTCTTTCTTATTGGCCCAAGCAGGTCACGTGCTCATGCTTGACTCAGTCCTCTGTCCAGGGAGATGAAAAGATCTGCTGCCGGCCTCACTACAACTACACGGGCAGAATTGTACTCTCAAAGCAAAATTGTCCAGCTGGTGCGGATGTCAGGTGATAAACACAAGACATCTACTACATGGAAGTTTCTCGTGTAAGTTTGGTAATTATTTTCATCCAATTTTTCTTGGTCTTCTGGGTATATTTACAGTATTTTCCTCTAGGGCAGATACCTAAAACATTTTTTGGGGGTAGAAATATTGATTCAATCTATTTTTGTTTGTTTGTTTCTTGTTCTTATGTTTAAAAATGTCTTTTCTACTCTGTGTAGAAAAGAAAACTTTCTTGAAAAGAAAGTTTATTTTCTGGTCTCAAAGTATAGACTTTATTAATTGTATCTATCATATTAAATTAGGTTTTTAGGTCTTCTAGAATCTTTCTTATTTCATATTTACTTGATCTTTGTGGCCTGAATGAAGTGAATTAATTTTTTATAATAATTATAATAAAAAGTCTTTTATTATTAGAGTACTTATGTCTACTTATTATATTTCTTGATAGTTTTTGGTTTTGAATTTTGATGCTATGCCACTTGGAGCATTGGTATTCATAACTGATACATCTTGATGGAGATTATGCCTACTGTTAAGTATTTGCCTTTGTCTTCCTTATTGCTTTCTATTGTAAATTCAATCTTGCCTGAAAATAAGAACATAATCCTGCATTATTTTTGTTTCTTTTTGTTTCCTAATATGCTCTTGTCCTTCTTTTATTGCTAATCTGTCACACTTAAACTTTGAAACACGTACAAACACACACACACATATTTTTGTCAGTGTTGTCATTGGTCAGCATCATGTCCTTTTCAAATAAAGATGAAAACTCTGACATGCTTTCACTTCTCTCTTTTCCAGTGTCCCCCAACCCTACCTACCATGCTGAGATCACCAGAGAATTTTGAAGATGCTCAGTTTTTAAAAACAGCTAATAGCAACTTTAATTTAAATATGTATTTTAATAGTTCTCTGATATACACTTTTATAGTATCCCATATTTTTTCTACGACTATATGTTTAGTTGGAATACATCCTCTATTCTTATTTCTGAAAGTAATACCCAAAATGTCCTTATTATACTCCCCAACCTAAAAAAAAAAATAGTTTTTGTGTGTAAACAATTCTAGGTTGACAATCATTTTCCATCAGAACTTTGAAGGTATTTCTCCAGTGTCCTAACATTAGGTGTTGTTGATGAGGTGAAATGCCAATTTGATCTTGTCCCTTTGTAGATAATTTACTTTTTGACCTTGTCAGTGTTTATTTCTGGTTTTCTGAATGTCTCAAAGTAGAAGATGTGTGTATGTGTGTGTGTGTGTGTGTGTGTATATATATATATATATATAT